GCATTGTCATCGTGCCGGTTCTTTTCCAGGTGTTGGATTTTACACATTTAGGGCAACATTTCGTCTTCTCCCTCAGTTTTTCTTTCCCTCTGCAAAAGGGTTTTCAGCCATTTGATTTCCTTAGTGTGCTGCGCGGCTTGCCTGTCTCAGGCTGCACGACTTCCTCACAGGCATCAGAGGTCTCTCTTTGCTCATTTGAATTACTCCAGGACAAATTTTGTTTTCAGAGGCTATCATACGACATATGTCTCATATCCAGCAGTTCTTTTCTGAGCTTCTCTATAGTCTCATTCTCACAGTTTCTCTTGGGCTTGAAGAGCATTCATCTGTTGTTGGCTTTCAGACTTGCCTTTCATCTTGTGTAGCATGACCATCTTTTTCATGTTATGTGCCGAGTTCAGATGCTGATATGATTCCATTATATGCATCATTTTTCTGAATTTGATTGTGTCTCTCATTCAAATGAATAGGGCAGAGACTTCAGGCATCGTCAGCTTGATTCCGCAAAGCATTCCAGCCGCTCAGTATTCACACTGCACTTTCAGCAGGAAATGCATTTTCATCTTGTTATTGTAGTTCCACAAAGAATTTGAATGCAGTTACAGAAATTTGGCAGCAACATACATCTTTTCTTTTTAGACTGTCTTAAGTAAAGGCTGACCACTGGGTTGTTGACCATTGAGAATGTGTGTACTGCATTTGACTGTTTTTCAGCAGTGTTTCTGGGCTCAATTTAACTGAAAACATGAGAGGGAAAAATCCTGAGTGCTCCTCTTTGCCTTGCCAGGTTTCTATGTAGTTCCTTGTTTATGTGCTTGGACTTGAAAGACTAAAGGGATTGTTGTGCTTTGCACCAGCTCTCATCTGCTATGAGTCTTTTTAGCCTGTGTCCTTGTAGAAATAAAACATTAAGACTCAAATAAAGCAAAGGCTCCTCACAGTATAATTAGAGTGAACATGGCAGTGTTTGCAGTGTACTTTACACTCTAGTAAACCTTGTCTGGAATAATTATTTTCTGTGCTTTAAAGGTAAACTTTATGACCCATTAAAAAAATAAACTCAAACTTTCATGTCGTATAATTAAATAAGAGCATGGAACAAAGTTTCACTGATGGCATGCTTTTACCTTGCATGTCATAAGTATGCACTACCATAGACTTACATAGCGCTAAATCACCAATATGGATACATCAAGCGAATCACAAATTGTGGCCAAAAGAGGATCATCTTTTAATGTGTCTAAACTTAGAACAGTCAGTAAAACTTAAATCCCAAAAATGACTCTGCTTTGGCAAAAAGACAAAGATAAGACATTGTGCAGTTGCAGCACAAAATGATTACGCACACAATATCCTCATGCACACAAAAGGACAGTAAGAGCACGTCTCACAACTGCAAGCCTACTGCAAGGGTTACACAAGGCAAATTTCCCTCAGCAATGAACTTACTGCATGAACACTTGGGAAATCAAATGCACTTTGCACTTTGGTCTCTATCAAAAAGGGCACCAAGTTTGAAAAATGACAAATAATCTCCACACTCATATTAATGGATTAGTTTCAGTCTCAAACATGTACAGACGGAATTGAGAAGTTGCCATTTCCAATCGATTTGTTACTCAGTTTTAGTTACTAGTTTATAAGTCTTTCCAGTTTGCTTTTCAGAACATTCTCACTTGTGAGGGAATGAGGTGCTTTCAGATAATCTGAAGTAGGCTTTTTATAGGCCCAATATTACTTGTTTAAGTCCAACGCTAGTTTTCACTGGGTTATGCAGCTGCATCTGAAGGGAAAAAAGGGTCATATTTAATATCAATCAATAAAATTATGTTCAGATCAGTTCCAATACAGTATAATTATAGAACCTGAGTTTTCAAAAAGCCACTATGTGAAAAAGAAAGAGTATTACATCTATTTTTAAAAAGGAAATAGGTGGCTCCACATTACAGATAGTACGTTTGTATTTGTGCCTAACCTGCGTGCACCAACAGCTACATGTAAGGTGCAAGATCCCGTTTTGCTTTAAGAGAAATCTGTGGACTGCTGTACTGTCTCCACTGCAGTTTCTTGCAGACTAAATGGCGTCACACGTACAAGCCTTTGTCAGCACAATAAGGCCACAAGTATCCCATTCTACTTTATATCAGGGACACTCCATCCATATGTTTCTAAAGCTCCTGAGTCATCTTAAGAGTCTGCTTTCTTTGTTATAATCAACCTTCTGGAAATAATGATTTGACGCCTCTCTGGCCATGAAAGATGCACTGGTCAGCAACGACACACCTATGTATTAAAGCTGTGCTCAGTTTAGACCTTGGAATTAGCAACATCAGAAATTATGAGTTTCTAATAACTAGTTTGTTCTGTAATATCAAGAATAATGCAGTGGAGTGGCTTATGTCACGAGTCCTTCGCAAATTTTGACATCCTGTAATAACGATGCAAACGTTTTGCATGGAGAGAAACCAGGCAGAGTGACAGTCCCCCCTCCATCATATCTCTCTGCTATTCTTCCTCTCTTCGATGACTCTATCTAATCCACTCTTTCATGCCGTGCATCTTTGTCCTGTCTCTCCACTCCCACAGAACACTTTTATTCCTCATCTCTGTCCTCATTTGGTCCATCCTCATCCCCCTCCATCTCTCCATCATTCCACACTCACCCTCTTTTTCCACTGCTCACAAATTGTTTTTAATGCACTTTGCTTCTCTCTCTCTCTCTCTCCGTGCTTTAGAGTAGCAGCTGTCTCTGTCACTTTCCATTCAAAGCTGTACATCCATGTGCTATGCATGTGCACCTTGTGACCTCTCTGCTTGTGCAGCCCACTGACTCGGCTGCCAGACCTTGTAAAGAAGTGAACACTATCTGTTACACTGGCTGTTACTGTTACTTACCAACTCTGTGTGCGAGAGGAATATGGAGTGACACATATTGGTATTTGTGTGGATTTGTGCACATGCTTAGTCTTTGTCCACGTGTGTGCATCTATGTCACTGTGTGTGAATGCTGTTGCAAGGTATTGTCGATCACTGTTATTGACTGTTTATCAATGAGGCCTTGGGTTAGTAGGTACATTCTATGTATATGTCATCACTGTTGCTGGCTATGCACACACACACACACACACACACACACACACACACACACACACACACTTATGAATGGCAAGAGAAAACAAAACTACAGAATTTTTGAGCATGTAGGTGTTTGGTGTCGAAAGGTTTCCTGTGTTTGTCTGTGTCACGCCCACCAATATCCTAGTGTGTGTGAGCACTGGGACTCATACATTTTAATTGAATGAAGTTTGTATGCCTATCAAGTTGTGTGTTGGAGTGAGTATTATCCCCTTAATGAGTCTCTGTGGTAAAAGCTGTGGGGAGCTACAGATGCCATGAATAGGACTAATTTCTCTCAGCAGAGAAATCTCATGCCAACTGTGTGAATATTTTTACACGCATGTTTTACAAGGTGAATATGATACATGTTGCATGTGTGTTTTGAAAATGTTATTCCATTAATTATGGGCTTAATGAGAGGTTTTCATAATCTGAGCATACACGTTGTTGAACCTGTGTGAAGCATATGTTTACGTGTGTATTATGCATGATGGATTTTTCATTCTAACTGCAGCTTTTTGTTTAGGTTGTGTTGTGCTTGTTTAGTATTCAAGTCGCTGCAGTTCTCGCATCAAACAGCTCTAGATACGTTCTAACAGATAGAGCTAATATTTTCACATCTGACAGATATATTTTAGTTTTTGCCATTTTTGCTTCTCTCTAATTCTATGATGTTGGATGTTGTTTTCCTCCGCAATGTCCTTTGCTCTGAATAATGGGAATGGACAATATGGCAAGGCTTTGATTTTTAGGAACAACCAGTGTTATGTCTGGGTCTGATGCGAGTTAGCTACCCTGATTGGTTGGAACACCAATCAGACTTGGTTGCTTAAATCATCTGTGTAATTTGTGTAAACCTGCCTAGTCTTAAAATTATAATGATGATAATAAACTTTATTTATCCAGCATTTATATGGCAATTACACTCTGCATGCAGCTCCCACTGGGTAACAATAAACTGGAGCTGAGACGATCCAAAGCCTCAGCTCCAGTTTGCGTGTTTATTGCTCAGTATATTGTATCCCAGTCTTCTACTTGGACATTTTAAAGATTTCTGCAGGATCATGAGATTACCAGGTCTTCCAAACATTGTAAAATCCATTATTATTGTTGCTAAGAGCTGATATTGTAGTGGATGGACAAATTAAATTCATTGACATGTGTTAGCACATAAATTAGCATATTTTACTGTCCTGGATGACGTTGAGGGGGTCCCCTCCTTTTACTATGCCAAGATATTTTTTCTTGGTTCAAGGAGATGATTTGTGATAGTTGAAAAAGCTCTTAAATAACTAGGCTGTGGACTTTTAACTTAAGATCCCTGTTAATATTGCAAATAAACATTCAGGGAGGGTATGTGTTGTACAATGTTTGCAGAGTGACACATGCAGTACTGTTTGTCTATTGTTGTGTCCTGGTTCTGTATGAATATATATAAGATGTAGTTTTCTATTTTTATGCTGTATAACTGAGCCCAGAAGGAAAAAAAACATCTTTGCAACACTGAGAGAAATCCCTTTATATTTAATTTACCTGTCACTGATTGAGTCTGATTGCAGCATTGCAGATGGAACGTCAATGGGGGAAAATGGTCTTTTATGATGATGGGCTTTCAATAAATCCACTTTAATTAATGTTGTAATTGTCGCTTTACAGAGAAATAGTAGGCCCTCCTCCCTCCATGCAAATAAAACATGATGCTTATCCTACACTAATTTTACATAGTTATATATGCATGGGCAGACGACAGGAGTTTCATTCTTTTGGCTTCATGGCTCATTAAGATGACTGATTGCTGCTTCTTGAGTGTTTACACAACTAATATTATCACTTGGATAATTGAGTGCAGTAAAACAGCTTTCTCGCCATGTTTTTTGCTGCAGGTGGGATACGAGAACGCTGGGACCGTGGAGTTCCTGGTGGACAAACATGGAAAACACTACTTCATTGAAGTCAACTCCCGACTTCAGGTTGAACACACAGTCACAGAAGAAATCACTGAGTAAGTAGCAGATGTTTAGAGGGGGTGGGCAGCTGGATGGTTGCAGCGGATGTCTGTTTTTTGGGATCATCTGTCTACAAACAGGTGTGCAGCTTTGAGATTAGATGCTTCCTACTCGCAAAAAACGTTGGAGGTATAGACAAGGTTTTAGGCAGAGTTGAAAAAAGAGTTGAAGCTATATGTACACTTGAGTGATGCAAAAGGTTCACAGTGAGGAAAAGAGGCAAGAGAAGGGATTGGCTGAAAGCTACCAAGAAAGAGATGGGTGAAAGCAAGAGGGGGAGAGATTGGGGAAGAGGACAGGTGGAGTCAGTGAAGAGAGCAGCTGAAAGATGAGGTCAGAGGGAGGGTGAGAGACAACGGATTGAAGGAGAGAGGTGAGAACGAGCGAGAGGGTAATGAAAAATATAAATAGCATTCTGCTCCACTGATGACCTGTGAGATTTGCTCAGCTGAAACAACACAGATGGGTCTCAAACGAATACACACAAGACATAAACACAGACAAACACACAGGTACAGGTGTTCTGGCCCCGCAGTCAGAGCCAGAGCCAAAAATCCCTGTTCAGCACTGATCTCTGTGTAAACGCAGAAAACTGCAATTAATTCACATTTGATTTCCTGCAGAATTCATTCAATTAATGAACAAAGCGTAAAGAATAATAATCAATGCAACTAATCCAGGAAGTCAGAGGGAGGGTATGCATGGCAAGTATACCTGTTCCTATGGCAACCAAATATGACTGACAATTTAACTATCACCGTGCACTCTTGTTTGGCCTCTTTCATCTCTTCAGTCTTTGTGTTTTCTTGCTATTATACATGAAGAAGCTCTTTGATCAAACCGCAACATTTTCATCACACCACAGTGGACTACATCAGCTGTAGGGGAGTAAAAAAATGTTGTTGCCACGACAGAGATCAGCTCTTGCAACACCCATGAATGTCTGTGTCTCAGTCCAATATGATAAAATAAAAAAAATCAGATGATCTGGTGGGACAGATATTATTGCTGCCGGCCTCTGCAGTAGTTTATATGAGAGGAAACGACATGTTCAACTCAGACGACTGACTGACTGCAAGACACTGGTGGTGTGTTAAGTGTCTAAATCACACCAGATTCAACAAACATTTGTGGAATTAGTTGGTAGATAACAGCTTTAAAAATGTGGCTAATGTGACAAAAAACATGGTCTGATGAATGTGACAGCATAACATTTGTCAGCAATAAAGAAATTGGCATAATGTAGACAGTCTTATATTGCATTTCTTGTAAGCCTGTAGTTTTCCATGTTACGCTGATGTATATTAGGATAAAGCTCACACCTTACTTTCTTTTCATGAGTTTAAAAAGTTGTGTGTGTTCATCCCCTTCCTCCATACTTGGCTTGGACTCAGGGGTGTCAGTAGCACCTCAATATACCCAGAGCTCAGTTTAACTGAACATGATATCCTCTAAATTGTTGTCGGAGCACTGTAAGTACACCTCACGGGTCACTTACTCACCTGATTACACATCACCTAAAGACTTTGGACACATATAGACCCTCTCTGACTGCCCTGGAAGCTTTGTTTCACCTATAATGGTCCGACATATTTCATCTTTATGATTTTAAAAACAGTATAGATGGCACCTCAGCAAATTCCCAGCAGGCCTCCATCCAATATTTAGACACTTTCAATTACCAACAAGATTTGTGTGGGTGTGCAGAGGCAGTAAGTTAAAGATTTCCCTCGTGGAGCTTTCTTCTATTCAAAGACCTGTGTTTGTCATTGAAGCACATTGTATCATTGAGGCCTAACAAATGGGTTGTGTTCCACATCTATGCCCTGCCTTTGCTTGGCACTTTTTTATTGACTGGTTTCACAGCATGTTGCTGATGAGTGTAATAGAGCAGATTGCTTGTTGCATCGCGCACATATATTAGATATGAACAAAAAGAGGTCCAGTCATGGAAACATAGCCCCATAGCACTAGTCATCACTATGCTATTTCCTGGGTTTCTTTTTATTTTCTACTATTACTGTTTAATGCAGTGTCATATCTAAGACATTTGAATGTAAAAAGGGGCCAAATTGGAGGATTAGGAACAATGAAGAACTTGGACAATAATACATTTGCATGTAGTTGCAGTTCACCCAGTATGTCTTACAGCATTATTCTTGAGGACAAAATGAAATGGACCAAGCCCCCCCTCCCTGCTCTCCCTCCATTTGTTCTTTGATACCTCGTACACTTTTCTGCTTCCTCACATGCATTGAGAAACACTCAGGTACGAACAGGAACAATATGTTGATTTAAAAAGTAATTCTCACATATTAGACCCCTGGAATCCTGCACCAGTTTGTCATATCCTCTTTCTCCTGCAGAGAAACCCTCTCAACACTTAGGAAATGTGAAGTTTTGGGAAATTGGGGTCATTTGAATTGGCAGCATCGCAGTAATTACAAGAATTTAGGCAGCGTCATGCATCAAACTGCACATGTTGAAAGTTTCAGCTGTCACAAGCAACACTTTTCATTTGCACAGCTTTCATGTCAGGCAGAGGTTTAACTCTGGGCAGCCACAGCCGACAGTGGGAAAGAGAACAAGTCCCATCAACAGAATTCCAATGTGCATGCTTCTAAATTGCAGGGGAAATGTTCTCCTCACAAGCAGACAAGTATTTCATTTGAGCGTAAATGACAAGAGCGAACACTGTACTGCCGTGTTATTTGAACATTATGTCCATTACTTTTTCAGCTTCTCCGTTTCACTTGGCTACACTCCCAATCTCTGAGCTGTGTGAGCACATTCATCCTGGTTTTCATGTGTTTGAACTGACTGTGGTACTAATAGACTTGTCGCGAAGGTATTTTTCATACTGACTCGTGTAACTTTCACACTGGCTGTTCATTCCACACCGTATTTCATCAGGTTCCTCTCTCCTGCCTTATTTCTTTTTCATCAGTCATTCTCCTCGTTCCCTTCTATCACCCTCTTTGTCTTTTCATCGGTCTCTCTTAGATTTTATCGTTCTTTTTCTCAGGTTGGTGATGTTGGGTGATCAGTGGACTGCTCCAAGTACAGATGTGAATGCACATAATATGCAATTGGCCACTCTGCAGGACTGCCACTCAACTGATGCCCTTTGTCTAAGCTGGCTTTGTCCAGGATGTCTGAAAAACAAAAAAGAAAACAGAGATATATTCAGAGTGCCTGGAACCCACCAAGGAATAGACCTAGTCTCTGTTGTTTTGATTTGTTCTTCTCTTAATTTAAGCAAATTGCTGCCGCCAGCCAGTTAGAAGGTAGCGGTATAAACTAGAGTATGAACTAAAAGGTACTAACAGGATTTTAGTAGCGTCTCTAGCTCAACCTTAAACAAATGTTTTAAAAGGTCTTGTCTGTTTGACTCTCCCTTTCTTCACATTCCATATCATTGTTCTTTTATCTCTATTTTTGTTAGTCAGTCACATGTTGCTCCATCACTTTCTGGAATTGCTTGGATTTGTATATGTATAAGCTTAAAGTTTGGAGCAGATGTTAATTGTTCCCAGGTTAAAAATGACATTGGCGTTCCCCTGATCTTTCTGTTTGGTTGACATTGTAAGTTTCAGAGTGAAGCAACTATTGCTACTATTCCTTATTATCCATTGCATTGCAGCATTGCAGCAACATGGTGCTTGGATCACATGTCAAGGATGCAAGGTTCACTCTGACATTTTTGTAAGTTCACTTGAAGGGTTTGGTCATAAACCTCCTAACCAGCTCAAAGGTCATCTAACTCCTCCACCTCCTTTTATGTCACATGTAACAATGTCCCCTCTCACCTCTCCCTTTAATCCATCCCCTCTTCCTTCCCACCTATCCATCTCATCCTAACAGTCCTCCCTTAGGCTCTCCCCTTCATCTCTGTCCTCACCTGCCTTCGTGCACAGGTCTCTCCACCTCTGCCCATCCGCCCTGTCTGTCTTTCTTCCTCGCACCAATGCCTCCTGCTCCGTCTCCTTCTTTCCAGCTGCCATCCTTTCAGCCCTGTCAGTTTCTCCGTCTGTGTGTCTACCACTCACTCACCCCCTCATCCACTCTTATCCTTTTTTTCTTTGACATCTGTCTCTTCATTCATCTCTCCCTTACTCTGGCTCTCTCTGTCCTTAGCCTTACCCACCTTCACTCATCTTTACTGTGTCCCTTCAGGAACTTGTCCTCCTTCCTCTGCCCCTCTTTTATCCTGCTGTATAGTCTCACCACCTCTGCTTGTCTTCATTGCTCCATACTTTCATGTAGGAGTAGAAACACCAGCCAAAATACAAAACAACCTGAAAGAGGGACTTCTAAGTGATTAAACCACATTTGTAGAGGCAGCGACAGGGCTGGGTCTTTAACTTGAATCCTCTGTGAATTTAATTTGATTAGCATACATGTAAAAAAAACAAGGGCAGCATTTTCCATTATGATGACACCATATTCCAAACAAAGTCAGAATAATCTTGTTTTTAGTCTAATAGCATATGAGAATTTCATTTTTTATAACAGTACCTTCACCACAGAAAGTGAACAGGCAGAGCCTCCACCTGAGAGACTGAAGGACAACAGAGGAACATCTGCTCTATCGCCTGAAGTTTTTTCTAGTTGCAATGTCCACAAGAGGAAAGCTCAGCGTCAAGAGTTTCTGACAATAACTAACATGGCAATGGTGGAGGAGGTTGTCATAATTAATTTCTAAAGAGAAGGCCAATAGAAAACTCATTATAAACAGTGGTGGTCTATAAGGCCCCTAAATACATTGTAACATGTGGACAGTGAATTGTTTGACGTGTCTTCCTCGTGTCGTCTCTTTTTAACTATTGCCGACACTACTCCCCCACATTTCTGTTGGTTCTGCTCCGTCTCGTCTGTTTCATCTGTAATATTTCAGAAGACGTGCACAAATACAGACATAATGAATGCTGAGAATAAGCAGAAGGCTCAGTCTGTATCTTTATATTTATCAAACATTAAGCATTAATGAGTTTAT